TAACCTTATGTAATCTGTATCAATTGTCATTTTGATATTTTGTACCTTTTTCTTATGTAAATAATTACTAAAAAAATCTAAAGATACAGACTTATGATTTCTGTTTCTCTGGTCTATTGTTGAGGGAAACCCAGCGAAGGAACAAAACCCCACAGGGGAACAGAAAGAGGGGCTCCTCAGATCTCTAAGAAAGAAGAGTCAATAGTCAGGAGGAGATCTCACGGCACCTGTGATCTGCAATTTGTTTACTATTACAGTTTTTTTTCAATTGCTAACCTGTATTGGTCAAAACTGAAGTCAAAACTCTTCACGCAGTCAACGAAACAGAAGTGTATTTGGACCCAACTGTGAATCATTTTATGGCTTTCACACAAAATGCATTCAATGACTACTTTCTCCAAAATCCATGCACTCTTTTCTCATTACTACTTCACCACCTGCAAAACACTGTACATCTGCAGCACATTTTTCGAGTCCAAAACTGTTAAAAACACATTCAAAACAGAATTATTGCAAATATCCTGCATTTTTGCAGCAACCAGTCTGAAATATATAGAAAATATTTTACATTTACGTACATTTTACGTTTACATCTATGTGTGTAGAGAAATGTTTGTAGTTTTATGAAATGGGTTTTACTGTAAAACTGCAAGCTGAGTGTAAAGCAGGAAATGTGCTTGTATGTTAGCAGAATTGTGGTTGGTGCTGTTGTGGTCATTGTTTCTCACGTACCAGTTTTACTGTGGAAACAACTGAGAAGAACTGAATTGCAGCACTGAAATTTCTGGAACTTTTTTTTCACAAGTAAATTGCTGAATGCAGTTTTTCTCAGTTGCTTTGGTACATTTCTACAATCATTCACAGATTCTTATTGACATCATAACAGATATCTTCATCAATTTACTGTAGCACACAAAAAAAAGTAATAGACATGTAGAAAAAATTGTTTGCACATTATTATGTTCAACCATTTTGCATGTAGCGACTTATGCAGTGAATTTATATCTAGATGTTTTGGGGGGTAAGACTTCTCAACAAAGAACCGGTATACTGTAATACATTGTGATCAACGTGACATACAGTAAGCAATTGATAATGTAGGAAACAGCAGACAAATGTACATGATAATTTGCATAAATGTGTCAAAGCATGTGCCGTTTACATATGATGTGCACAAGTGACTTGATGATGTGGAGGCTGAACAAGTAGAATTTTAATTCTGGTCTGAGAAATGTATCAAAGTGACTGAAAACAACTGTATTCTATAATGAAATACTGATTTATATGGAAATATCAGTCACATTTCAAGGATAAAAGTTCAACAAATGTAGGTAAAGCTTCCCGTTGTTAGTGTTTTGTAGGCCAGTGTGTTATGAGTGAGATTGTATGCTTTCTGAGTGGGTATTGTTGCCAGTGTTTTGGCTGAACGAGTTTATTTTGAGGCTTATATGAAGTGTTTTGGTGGTTTGAGTGACTTTTGGAGGTGAGATTAACTGTTTGGCCAGGATGCATGTTGGTAATGCAGACTGTGTGAAGAGTTTAGAAAAAGTCACTTCAGTTTTGACCGTTGCATCTTAGCAATTGAAAAAAACTGTAAGAAGCACAATCTATATACTCATATCTGTGTTAATTATTTTGTGTGTGTCGAATATTACAATATAAGTTCACGGTATAGTGTAGTGTACAGTGTTGGTTTTGTTTATTTGTGATTAAATGTCTGTTTTTCCTTAAGCACAGTGCCATGGGTGTGGCTGTAGCCTTATATTGAAAGGAGTTTTTCCCTGCAGACAGAAAAGTGTAGCTTCAAAAGTTAGTGCTGAAAAAGATTAATAATAGATTAATTTCCTGTATTAGAAAACTAGGTTTTTTAACTGTTGTTTGTGGAGTTTGGGTGTGATTGGTATTTCCCCTTTATGTAAAAGAAACGTATGTAAAAAAAACTGGTGACGTGTGTGTGTGTGTGTGTGTGTGTGTGTGTGTGTGTACTTAAATTGTGCCTGATTAAACTGCTAAAAAGTTACAGAAAAGGGTTGTGTTTGATGCTCAAGACTGTTTATGTGGTGTACATTCTGTCTTCGGGGTTTTAGGGTTTTGGCTTCACTCCAAAGGGCGGTGCCCATAGGAAAATAAATCCATTTGAACATATTGCTTGACGTTACATAGGTGCTTGTTTAGGAATACAGGAGCGCATGAGGACTTGTAGAATGTGTTAAATTTGAGAGAAAATGTAAATAATTTGTTTTCAATCTTTGCCTTGTCATGATTTTCGGTAGGGTAAGAATGTGTTATTAAGTAGAGGGAGGAAAGAGTTATCTAAGAGCAGAGCTAACAGAAGAGTGCAGATGTCAGCGATGGACTGTGGTCCGTTTACTGGCGCAGAAAATTAGAAGAGGGAGAAAGAAAAAATTTTTTTAGCTCAGCACTAATGGCTAAAGTAGAGATTGCATCTTTGAAAACTATAGCCAATGTGTAGCTTATGTTCTGGAGGTTTAAGCGTAGTAGTGTTCATATAGTGATATAATGAGCGTATACAACAGGTATGACGTCGAATTTCTTTGCACAGATCCGTATCACTCCGCGACAAACAGGTTTGGACAGATTTTATAATCTGAGTTTATAGGGGTCTCACGCTCCATTTACACTTGGCATTAAAATGCAATCTGATAGGCTATACCTATTCGACTCCAATTACCCCGAAATGTCGCACTCAGTATTGGCAGTAACAATTAATTATGTGAGCTGTGTCAACAACATTTTATCAAACTAATCATTCCTTTAAACTTGTGACTCTTTACAATTGTTTTTCTGCACATACCATAATTAATTACTACAATACAACAGAGGATTGAGGAGATAGATAAGTGCTAAAATGCTACAGACTAAGATGCTCCATTTCTGAATATAGAGATAAATAAATAAATCTTCTCTCTTCATATCAATATAAAAACAGACTTCATGTCAGTTATTTGTTGACTTTTGAACAGCGTCCTGCTTCTAGAGCAGATGAAACCAAGAGTCAATAAAACCTTATAAAAACAGGAGCATTAACTTCTTTAACTGTAACTCTGGAGCTGAGAAAGTGAACTGAGTTTGGCTCTACATGTCTGTCGGGGTCTGTCCCTGTGATCAGAGAACAACATGGGGGAACTTTTAGAGGAAAGATTGTGGTGTGAACGAAGCAGCTCTGAGCTCATTTTAACTTCACCAT